ACGTCGATTGCGTACACAAGATTTACGCAAAATATTTTGCGTACGCAGCTTGATGAATCTACCCCCTACACACCTGCCGACAGGTGAGCGCTGTCGCTCTGCGGCACTTGTTTGTTAAAAGTTAACGTTTGATTATACAGTTAGATACGTAAATAAATTATCATCCTGCGCGCGCATGTGTCACATATGACGTTTAACTGTTCGATACTCTTTCATTTTACTTTTAATGCTGATTGCTGTAAGTATTGGTAATTGTAAATTGTACTTGAATAATAGTATATATTATCAGTAGTATATACTGTTATATAAGTTGTCGTTTATTGAGCAGCCGTTGCGACGAACACGCGTCACTGTATCAGAACAAAGGTCACCCCTTTCTTTATCTCACTGGCTGTCGTGCTGTAGTGCGAACATTTAAACATAATTATATCAGCAGCGCAGTCAGTTAGTTCTTTGCAGATAGCATAAAAATACAATGGTACAACAAATCTTTCCAAAAAGTGCCGTCCGCAATTAGTTAGCAAAGTGTTAGTAATTGTAGCTACATTAATATATAATATAATATCATAGTATTATATATATGTGGTAACATAAGTTATCGTAATGATTGCATTACTTAGCCATTGCAGCGATTTATAAACTTGTTAGGTTTGCTTCTTCAATATACGTTGCGTTCACCACATATATCTCTGTATGTGTGTGCGTACGTGCATCCGTATGCCTGTGTTTGTGTGCGCGCGCGTGTACGAGGCGATATATATAATAAATATACGCATATTGTATATATATATATATCAAGAGTGCATAATAGAGACCTCTCTATTATGCACTCTTGATATATATATATATGCTTGCGCGTGCGTGCGGACGTGCATGTGGGCGTGCGTGCGTACTTAATTGCGTGTGTGTTTTGAATTGTATCTTGTTTGTATAATATCAAATGGTAATATATATAGTGATCTAAGAATGTAGGCCTAGCTGTGGGCAGATGTTCATTGTCTATAATAAATGACGCTGGTTTGAGAAAGGAATTCGGCTGCGTGGTATTTAGTCAGCAACACTTTTATTTCATTATAAGAATACACGCTGGCAGCCGACTAACAAAAAACAACATTTGCTTCACAATATAATAAAGAGTGAATAACAAAATTTAAAAAAAAACACTGATATAATTCGAACATTACACACCATTGATGACGTCGAACGTAAACGGTCCATTTGTTACGGCGCGCTCCGGCTCCTGTATGAAACACGAATGCAGTATTTCCTTGCCATAAATCAACGTCTCCATCACTCCACCGCTGGCTCTGCTGCGGTTCACGGCCGCGTAGTCATTTAGCAGGTGTTGACATTGCACATACTTGGTGCGGAACTGATCTTCCGCCTTGTGTTGCCATCCTTGATTTCCACAGAGGAACCTCTTGTCCGGCCCACGGATGGACTTCATGAGAAACGCTCTCGTATCTCTCGGAGAGGCTAGCCATAGATAGCCTAGCGGGCGACGATGCAGAGGGAAAACCATGTCTCTTGGGTAAATTCGACCTTCGTCTGTTTCGTGATGAATTTCCCATATATGCGTGCTGTTCTCGTCGAAAAATGATATGTCAATGAACGGCCACGCCCACTCGTAGCGCCACGTCTTTGGCGTGTTTGAGAAAAAAAATTTCATGTGTCGTTTCGACGTATGATTGACTAGATTATACTCCGGACCAAGGGCGAGCAGAGCTGTCTCCATTCTGTGTCGGTCGCTGTGACGTATCATGATGTCGATGTCATCGTCCCAGGGCAAAAGGTCGTGTGACATATATGAGCCTGAAAGATCGAACTGCAAATTACCAGTTTAATCAATAATACAATTTTACATGTCTATGGTACACACAAACCACGTGTAATCAAGAATTATTAGCTCAATGTATCAGCATTAAAATATGAAGGTAAACCACATCCCGATGTGATGAAAACACATTTTCAATAAAAGGTCATTAAATTTTGTATTTTCACAAAAATAGGACTTCGCTTCAAAAGATTACAACATTAGATGTATGTGTCCCGACAATCCACATATACCTAAGCTAATGGCTAGAAACTAAGTCATATATGGCATGGATCTGACAAAGGTGCCTGTGATAATTGCATACATTAGTGAGTAGTACACGTATCCTAGCATAGATGTATACGAGAAAACTCCATCAGTTGACCTCTCTTCGGAAATAGGAAGGCGTTGCGTGTAAGGTGCCCGCTGCATATAACAGTCAGTACACAATCTGACTACGTTGGCGTGTTTGCGCATGCGCAATATCTCACCAGAGTACTCATATTTTGTGAAACGTATGCCTTTAAAATGGAGAAGGGGTATCCAAGCATAGATGAATGAGATAAATCGTTGTCAGTAGACCTGTGTTTATAAACATGAGAGAGCTCTAGCCTGTAGGGTGTAAACCTCCTATTTCATCACCTCCCATTCTCTCCGCTTGCCCACCTTGTCCCTTGCCCAGCCTCCTTTTTATTTTATCGCCCCTCAGCTATCTTCCCTGCTGCCTTCTCTCGGTCTCTAACCCCTCTATCCCTCAGCAAGCTAAATTATCTAGTTTGTTTCAGTCTGTATTGCACGCCTGAAACGGTGCTCGCGCATGCGCAATATCTCCCGAGAGGGATAATATTTTGTAAAAACTATGCATTTAAAATGGGGAGGAGATTTTCTAGCATAGATTTATATGACAAAACTCCATTAGTGGACCACTCTAAAGAAATTGGAAGAAGACGTTACATGTAAAGGTGCCCGCTACATATAACAGCTAGTCAGTATACAGAATCTGACTATGTTAGTGTGTTAGCACATGCGCAATATCTCGCCAGAGGAATCATATATATTTTATATAAGCGAATATGTCTGTGCGAAAATTATATCATGCAAATAATCATTACACCCCCACTTTTGATCACGTTTTTCTTGCACTCTGACCCTCCCCGCCCGCACACTGATAGAACCTTCATCTCGATGACTGTAGTCAGAACTTGGTGCATGCATGCCCGGCTAACATTTGATCGCGTGAGCGTAACGGGTCTGCACCCAGATGTGATTTAACTCGGATAACGCTATACCGACCCCCTAATAACGGTAAAAATATTTAATCCAGTTAACTTCTGTCGTGTGAAAACCATACGAAATTCTACGCGGTTAACCATTTGTTGCCTACTTTTATAAATACTGCTTGCCGTTAACGTCGGGGTTGTTCTTAGAGAAAATTTACACTTTAGGGGCATTATAGCGGATGTTGCTTGTAACACGGATAAATACCATATACCACGTACCGTATAAAGCACCTCCGAATAGCACGTATGATACACTGTTCGACATGAATACCATGTCTATCATCGCCATCAGAGACATCATCTTCAACCACTGCAGCTGTGACATCACACGCATGCTCGATTTACCGTCTTTCCACTTTGCCATTTTAATCACACAGTTTGCATTTGGTTCCAGCATTCTGTCCATATTGTTGAACGTGTAATTCTCCAATATGTGGTCATTCGGCGGTTTACACTTTAAATTCAAATTGTTTACCATTTGCCAGTTGATGGAATGCCTAGCAGGCATTCTGGAGATTCCGCTTGGGCGGTTAATAGGTATCGTAAGATTTAGCAACGGTAAACACAAACATACGACCAACAACACGACAACGCAACCACAACAACAATATCGCAACGTTGAAAGGCACAATCCCATGTGTCTACTGATGGATTTGGCAGACGCCTTTGGTAATGCCCTCTCCATTCTTTTATCTCGCATTCTAGACGCACTCGATGATGATGAGGAACTCCGCGGCGTAGTACTACTGGAGGCACATGAGGTATAGGGCATTCACGGTTGCACGATTATTAACCAAATGTTGCTTCACTACGCGCATTTACACGTGTACGCACGCGCGCAGACACATACGTACTTGTATGTGTTTGTATATACATGCATGACGAACAGTGTCTAGAGCGAAGTGCCGACACGCGGTGTACTTTGTACCTCTTGCCAGCTGAACCTTGTGTACATAGCCTACTACAACGCCGTACTCCGTGTGATGCACGTTGAACACCCCTTCCGTGTCTAAGCGATAGGAAAGATCACCGGAAAATGCATGTTGACAGTAAAATGGGAGCAGGGTCAGCAGAACCGATGACTAATCTTCTCATCACACGAAATAGCAACCAATCAAGACCCATGCAGGTCGAAGACAGGCCAGGCACCGTTTTCGTGTTAATTTGTGTTTGGAAATTATCAATTTGATAATCAATTAGACAATCTCTAGAAATTTCAACGCGTAGACGAGTTGCGGTCGGAATCATGCGCAACATTTCAACCGCATTATTTTTCATTCTTCTTGAATAATTGCCAACGGCAAAATTCACAGCAATAATAACTTTATTTCTTGAAAATCTGGATGTTTATTATTGTACCTACCAGGTACCGATCTGGCCATCATTCTAACACATGCATCACACGTATACCACTCGAGTTAAGTAGAAATTACGCGAATTAAATCGAATTGCCGAATTAAAAAACAGTTCCATGTCCTCTCTAACACCAAACACGTACGGACACACAGGCTCGGATTTAGATGGTGGCACATCCGGCCCGTGCCCCTGCTTTTGAAACCAAAAAATAAATAAATAATTACATTATTAAAAAAATTACAAAATTACTAAATTACTAAATTAC